GCCCCACGGCGCCGCGCCTCGAACCCGCACCCCGAGGCCATGCCGGTCATGAAGGGGTTGTTGGCCCCGCAGAACACCTTCCTGGACACCATTGCCACCCGCTTCGACGGCACGCGTGAGTCGGGCGGAGGATGGGACTGGGGGTTGGAGCTGGGGATCAAGTCTCCGGCGCTGGCGCAGGTTTTCTGGATGTGGTGAGATCCGAGGCGAGGAGAGGGAGTGGAGTTGAGGGTCTAGGAACTCCTGAAGCCGCGGTAAAGGAAACAGGACTGGGAGCACCTTGCGAGGGGAGGAGGGGAGAGGACTAAGAATGCAAGGGGTCAGGGTTGCGGGTGTGTGACTGGAGGCAGGAAGGCTCTTTGTGCGGCAAAGCGGAGAAGAGTCCTTGGGAGCCGCCCACTCTCGCGCATAGCTCTGGTGGGGGCGTGTATCGGGTTATCCAAGACACGAATGTGGGACTAAGCGGCCAGGAGCTCTGGGGTCCGCTCCCAGACGACTCTAGCATCTCCTTCCCCCAGGAAAAAAAAGAAAGAAAGAAAAGATCAGACTTCGGCAGGACCTATCTTGGGTTAAGGTCACGAGCCCCCAAATCGCAGCGCGTCAGTGTCTGAGGGAGGTGAGGCAGGAAGAGGGGGCTGATCTGTGTGACGGAGGGAACTGCCTGTCTGCTCTCCCACCGGAGCTTGGGTTCCAGGTTCAGCACCTTGGACAGCCACACTTCTCCTTACCCGCCTCTTCTCCCGCCATTCCCTTTTCCTACTTTGGAACTGGGAGATCTCCCCTTGCCCACTTCAGACGTCAGACACCGTGGTCGGGATCAGGAAGGTGAGGGGAGCGGTAACCGAGGGCGGAAACTGAGCCGCCGGGGACCTACCCGCCTCCCCACCCTGCCCCCATACACCTCCCTTGTTTCCATAGCTCCCATCACCCAGGCAACGGGCCTGGGATGGAAGAAGGAGGCTGCTTGCCCAGGGCCCAGCGCCTCCCAGGCACCTTCAGTATCCCCATCAGCCATTCCACCCCCAGACACTCACTCCTCCTAGTGCCGCAGGACTGGTTGTATCTCAGATCCCTTCCCTCAGCTGAGACTGTCCCTGGATGGACTACAGAGCCCCCCGAGGCCTCCCACCTTTTGGAGCTGGAGTGAGCCAGCTCAGGATCTGTTGCTGGGGTTGCTGGAGTCACAACTTCATTGTTCAAGCCTGTCAGACTTTGAGAACTGGGATAGACCCTTCTGAAATTAACAAAAAAGAAGGGATGATAAAAAGAAGACCCTTCCTGGAAGGCAGGGAATGAGGACATTACTCATCACTGTCTTTCTCCCCCAACAAAAGAGATTTGTGAATTTGGATAATCTCTGCCTTTTGGTTTCCTATCAATAAAATGGGTGTGATACCACCAGAATCCCTAGTGGTTATGGATGTGCTTTGAAAGCTGGGCGAATGGGAGGCATCGTTTCACCTTCTCAGTGTAACACTTACTATGTGCCAGGATTTGTTCTTCCCAGTTAACTCATATAACTCTCACACCAACCGTGAGAGGAAGATCAATTATCCCCCACTCTTCAGATAAGGAAGCTGAGACACAGAAGAGTTCATTAACTTGCCAAAGGTTACACAGTCAGTAAGTGGCAGAGGTGGGGTGCTGGAGCCCATGCCCTTACACACTATGCAGTGCTGCCTCCTCCAGTAATAACTCACCAGCTTGAGGGCAGAAGGATGAACCACAATGACCCCTTGGGGTTCCCTTTCCAACCCTCTAGTAGTTGCTGTCCCAGTTCCAGGGCACCTTTAAGTCTTTGTCCTTTTGCTCTATCTCTTCCTATTCTCTTTTCAGAATATCCCAAAGAAGGATCTAAGACTCACAAGAAAGCCTGGGAAGCTTCTGGCTCTGGGATCTCTGACCACAGCTCGGGGGAGGTACTGCCCACCTGGAAGCTGGGCTCCCTTCCTGGCCTTGACCTGACCTTGATCTCCTCTTCCCACAGACAGCAACTTCTTGCTGGCCAACGCACAGGGCCCACGGGGCTTTCCCATCGTCTACTGTTCTGACGGCTTCTGCGAGCTCACAGGCTACGGCCGCACTGAGGTCATGCAGAAAACCTGCAGCTGCCGTTTCCTCTATGGTCCAGAGACCAGTGAGCCAGCCCTGCAGAGGCTGCACAAGGCTCTGGAGGGCCATCAGGAACACCGGGCTGAAATATGCTTCTACCGAAAGGATGGTGAGGGGGCCTGGCCTGCCCTGCAGCCCTGCCAGACCCCGGGTCTTTCCCAGGGTCCACTTGACATACTGGAAGCCTGAATGCTGGTCCCCACACTGCCACAAGCTGGCTGTGTGACACTGAGTGCATCCCTGACCCTCTCTGGGCCTTGGTTCTCCCATCTGGAAGGTGAAGGAGAAGGCTGACATAATCTCTGGGGTTCTGT